AGGCTTATTTTAGTTCCTTATTATCCCGTCTAAGCTTTGTTTCCTCTTTTTGGGACCTCTTAAGCATGACGGCATAGGCTTCTGGTCGGTCCTCAAAGGACTGGACCAGCTTCACAAAAGATAGAACTTCTCATTGGTTCGTGAAACACATTCTTGATGGTCATTATCCCAAGGATTAAACTACGTAGAAGAGGCATTCTCATGATCTACTCGTACTGTGTTTGAACTTCTAGCAAAATTTTCTCTTATGTGACTATCAGAGGGTAAGGATACTCGGTAGTTACATTCAAGGTGGTACTCATTAGATTCCTGATTGTTATGTGGTGATCTTAGTGTGCTCTTTAGGTTTGACATGGCTAAATCTTCTGGCTCTTTTNTATAAATATAGAAATTGTATGTTTCAAGGTAAAAGTTAAGCCAACAGGTTAGTTTAAAAATGTCATTTAAACTAATCATTTATTCTGAATCATTTTTTTCTTTTGTTTTGGTACATCCAAATAAGTTATTCTGAAGAAAGTATTAAAAAGAAAATTAATATTCAATTTTGAGATGGATTTAAAAATGTCAAGAAGTATAAAACCTGAATCATTTCTCTAAGAAAACGCACCAAGAAGGAAAAAACACTGCACTGTTGCTATAATTTCACATGTCCAGATGTAACAAAACACACCCATAGATGCGTTTCGAGTGAAAATCAAGAAATCAGGTGTTTATGTAATCTTGAAGACATCAAAGTAACCATGGTGTCAAAGTGCATAGATGGAATAATTAAGAAAGATCCAGCTTGTGTTACTATGAAAGTCAAAGCAAACCGGTGCACAAAATTACACATGCAATCAATTAAAACGGTCAAACTAAACTTATTAACTTCCATATTCTATGATATATAATTACAGAACCCAAAAACAAAGAAAATTAGAAGAAGAAACAATCATAATTCCCCAGAAAATAGAAGAGAGAGAAAAACAAAATACACAAAAGATTGTGAAATTTTTACTGACAAAGGACACAACAATTTACTCAATTTAAGTCTTTGACAGCTATTTAGTAAATTGATTGGAACTTCTCAAT